TTTCTTCTGCTTCTTTCTTCTTCTCCTTGCTTCTTCTTTCTTCTGCTTCTTTCTTCTGCTTCTTTCTTCTGCTTCTTTCTTCTGCTTCTTTCTTTGCTTCTGCTTCTTGCTTCTGCTTCTCTTCTTCTGCTTCTTTCTTCTGCTTCTTTCTTCTGCTTTCTTTTCTTCTGCTTCTTTCTTCTCCTCTTCTTCTTCCTCTTCTTCTTCTCTTCTTCCTCTCTTCTTCTCCTCCTCTTCTTCTTCCTTCTTCCCTCTTCTTCTTCTTTTTCTTCTTCTTTCTTCTTTCTTCTCTTCTTCCCTTCTTTCTTCTTCTTCTTCTTCTTCCTTCTTTCTTCTTCCTTCTTTCTTCTTCCTTCTTTCTTCTTCCTTCTTTCTTCTTCCTTCTTTCTTTTCTTCTTCTTCTTCCTTCTTTCTTCTTTCTTTCTTCTTCCTTCTCCTTTCTTCTTCCTTCTCCTTCTTTCTTCCTTCTTCTTCTTCTTTCTTCTCCTTTCTTTTTCCTCTTGCTTCTTCTTCTTTCTTCTTCCTTTGCTGCTTCTTCTTTCTTCTGCTTCTTTCTTCTTCTCTTGCTTCTTCTTCTTTCTTCTGCTTCTTTCTTCTTCTTTCTTCTTCTTTTTCTTCTTCTTGCTTCTTCTTCTTTCTTCTCCTTTCTTTCTTCTTCTTCTTTCTCTTCTTCTTCTTTCTTGCTTCTACTTTGCTTCCTCTTCTTTCTTCTCCTTTCCTTCTTCTGCTTCTTCTCTTCTTGCTTCCTCTTCTTCTTCCTCTTCTTTCCTTCTTCTCTTTCTCTTTCTCCTCTTTCTTTTCTTTCTTCTTTCTTTCTTCTTCTTTCTTTTCTTCTTCTTTTTCTTTCTCTTCTTTTTCTTTTTTCTTTCTTCTCTTCTTTCTTTTTCTTTCTTTCTTCTTCTTTCTTTCTTCTTTCTTTTTTCTTTTCTTTCTTCTTCTTTCTTTCTTCTTCTTTTTCTTTCTTCTTCTTTTTCTTCTTTCTTCTTCTTTCTCTTCTTCTTTCTTTCTTTTTCTTTCTTCTTCTTCTTTCTTCTTCTTTCTTTCTTTCTTTCTTCTTTCTTTTTCTTCTTCTTCTTTCTTCTTTCCTTTCTTCTTTCTTTCTTCTTTCCTTCTTCTTTCTTCTTCTTCTTCTTCTTCTTCTTCTTCTTCTTTCTTCTTCTTCTTCTTCTTCTTCTTCTTCTTTTTTCCTTCTTCTTCTTCTTTCCTTCTTCTTCTTCTTCTTTCTTTCTTTCTTTTCTTCTTCTTTCTTCTTCTTCTTCTTCTTTCTTTTCTTCTTCTTCTTCTTCTTTCTTTCTTTCTTCTTCTTCTTCTTTCTTCTTCTTCTTTTCTTCTTTCTTCTTCTTCTTCTTCTTCTTTCTTTCTTCTTCTTCTTCTTCTTTCTTTCTTTCTTCTTCTTCTTCTTTCTTTCCTTCTTCTTCTTCTTCTTCTTCTTTCTTTCCTTCTTCTTCTTCTTCTTCTTTCTTTCTTCTTTCTTCTTCTTCTTTCTTTCCTTCTTCTTCTTCTTCTTTCTTTCTTCTTCTTCTTCTTCTTTCTTTCCTTCTTCTTCTTTTCTTTGCTTTTCTTTCTTCTTCTTCTTCTTCTTCTTCCTTCTTCTTCTTGCTTCTCTTCTTCTGCTTCTTTCTTCTTCTCCTTGCTTCTTCTTTCTTCTCCTTGCTTCTTCTTCTTCTTCTGCTTCTTCTCTCCTTCTTCTTCTTTCTTCTGCTTCTTCTTCTTTCTTCTTCTTCTTCCTCCTCCTTCTTCCCTCTTCCTTCTGCTTCCTTCTTCTTCTTTCTTCGGCTTCCCTCTTCTTCTTTCTTCTGCTTCCTTCTTCTTTTTCTTTTTTCTTGCAGGTCACAGCTCATGCGCAGATTTTTTATCGGTAAAAATGATCAGCCGATTTACCCATCATTGCCGCAAATTTTCCAACATGACCGTTTAAAAAAAAAAAAAAAAAGTGTAGAAAAATCGGTCGGTTTTTTGGATGATTTTTGACCCGTCTATGGCCGGCATTACACCCATTACCTATCCCCAGCTCACACCCTAAAATTTTGGCGATTAACACACTGTCTGATATCTGTGGATCTGATCTTTAGTGAACTTTGCTTGAAGCACTGAACATCTGCTGTATTTTAGCAACACAAATCTTAGAGAGGATATGACACTCTTCTTCTATATTCATCATTTTAAAAAATTGGTTAGTACGGTTGCACCGATATTGGTACCGATACTAAGCATTCGAAAGGGCTCAATCGCACTGCAAAGATTGATGTGGTTTCCCTGTGGGTGTGGTGCAATTTGCGCCATTCAATTTGTATGGCTCAAATTGCACTGCCAATCGCACCACGCCCATAGGGAAACCGTATGCGATTCAAATCACATGTGATTATTTGCAGTGCAATTTCAGCCCATTCGTTTTGTATGGGCTGAAATTGCACTGCAAAGTTATTGGCAAATACTTGAGCACAAGTATTGATATTCACACTTGCCGATTTAAAAACAAAAAAACAAAAAAAAAAAAACACAGTATTGACGCAACCCTATTGGTTAGGGGTTCTTTAAGGCTGGCTATACACCGTACAATCTTATTGTAGCATCCCTATACAATCTTTACTGAAACTGTGAGAGGCAGTCTAAGGCCCTGTTCACGCGACTGCAGTGACCTACATTTTACTGCACTGGAAAAGCGCAGATTACTGCAAGGACACATAGAAAACAACAACTGTTTTCTATGTGTCTTGTTCACACATCAATGCCGGTGTATTGTGCATTGCGTTAAAATGCTACATGTATGCATTTTAACCCAACACAATGCAGATCAATGAAAATCTATAGAGAAAAAAAAAGCTTTTGATTATTTTGTCTCTTTAGAGTATAACGTACCTACCCATAGCAATTTCACGCACATGATACATGTCAACGCACATAAAAATGCACAGCAAAGGACGGTAATGCACATCCGTGTTTATGAGAGATCAGGCCGTAAATCTATATCTAATCGGCCAAATCCTTGTACAATGTCGTTTTTCTTGGCTCCTCAGACTGAGCAAGGTTATATTTTTTTTTTTAGATGTTTAATGTTTTAGAATTAGCTGAAGTTATGTTTGTACAGTTTGAGTTATTTAATGATATATTAATCTGACATGCATTTACTTAAGAAATATTCTTTTTAATGGTGTCATGCTGGCGTTCCCAAGGTGATGAAAATATTGTCTGCTATCCAACATTTGACACTTGATCTAATTTGAAACGTAAAGTGGTTCTAAAGCCAAGACATTTTTTTTACCTTAACCACTTGCCGCCCTGCCACTGTAGATATACGGTGGCAGGGCGGCACTGGCAGGCAAAACCACGTTTTAAAATGTGTGTTGTGTAAACAGCTAGGGGGCGCTCCGCCGCCCTATCTGTCCCGCCGATCACTGCCGCAGATGTGAGTCGCCGGGTCACAGCCGGTCCTTACCGGCTATCTCCCGGCGATTGGCAGCAAACAGTGACAGACAGCACAGCTGCAGTAGCTGTGCTGTCTGTCACTTCCCTGTCAGCTCGAGGATGAGCTGATCGAGAAAGAACAGTTTCTTTTTCTCGATCAGCCTTGTCCCGTCCAGTACACACCCCCGCCCCCTAGTAAAACACTAAAAAACTCCCCTCACTCCTATAACCCTTCCCTGCAAAATAAAGTTAACCCCTTCCTCCCCAGTGCCATTAGTACAGTGTCAGTGTTTTTTTTGCACTGATCACTGTATTAGTGTTTTTGGGGATGTCAGTGACCCCAAGTCAGTACCCCCCAATGTCAGAATGTCCGCCGCAGTCCCGCCATAAGTCGCTGGTCGCCGCCATAAGTCACTGATCGCTGCCATAATTCGCTGATCGCCGCCATTATTAGTATAAAAAAAAACCTAAAAATCCCAGTATCTTTCCCGCCATTTGTAAACGCTATAACTTTCACGTAAACCAATTAATTTACACGTATTGGGTTTTTTTTTAGAAAAGACATGTCGCAGAATGCATTTTGGCAGAAATTTATGACTAAATTTGATTTTTGCATTTTTTTTTACTGGACATGTTTTATAGCAAAAAGTCCAAAATATTGTTTTTTTTTTCCTCAAAATTGTAAGCCTTTTTTTTTTTATAGCGCAAAAAATAAAAACCGCACAGGCAATCAAATACCACCAAAAGAAAGCTCAATTTGTGGGGGAAAAAAAGGATGTAAATTTCATTTATGTACCATATGGCATGACTGCGCAATTGTCCGTTAAACTAGTGCAGCGCTGTATAGCAGAAAAATGGCGTAAATTGCAGTATTTATACCATACCACAAAGCAATCAATATACACTTATTGGGATTTTTTTTACCAAAAACATGGAGCAGAATACATTTTGGCCTAAATTTATAACCAACTTTGAGTTTACTATATATTTTTTATAGTTGAAAGTAAAAAACAAACTTCAAACTTTTTGGCCTTTTTTTGTTTATAGCGTGAAAAATAAAAAGCGCACAGGTGATCAAATTACACCAAAAGAAAGCTCTATTTGTGTGAAAAAAAGGACGTAAATTTCGTTTGGGTGCAGCATTGCATGACCGCGCAATTATCAGTTGAATTAGTGCAGCGCCGAGTAGCAAAAAGAGGCCTGGTCATTAAGGGGGGTAAATCCTCTGGAGGTCAAGTGGTCCTTACTTGATCCAGCACTGTGTCGTCTGCAGCAGCTCTCTCCTCTCTCACCACATTCACAGGACACCGAGACAGCAGTAAGCCATTGGCTCCTACTGCTGCTAATTAAGTCTAGTGAGGAGGGAGCAGGGTTGGAGCCCAGCAGCCCTGTGTGTCTCTATAGATGCACAGAGCATGGCTCGGGAGCAAGCCGGCATGTCTGCTCTCGCTGCTGTGTGAGCCAATGAGGAGAGTGAGAGCCGGTAGAGACGCGGCTCTCATGCACATTGCTGGCTTGAGATAGGATTCAGGTAAATATTAGGGGGAACAGAGGGGGGAGCTGCACCCTTAAGGTTTTTATCTTCATCCATAAAATGGGTGGAGGTAGAAAACCTTCTGCCTTTAGAATTACTTTAAACACTGGGAGCGATGAATCACAGAAGTTGTGGAGTGGAGCAGGACTGACAACTCATGGGGCTCCCGGGCAATAGGAGATCATGGGGCCCCCGTGTCCTCGCCCACACCCGAAAAAGCCAATGAAAGGTACCAGGGGCATCTCATGGGGCCCCCCACTGACACTGGGCCCTCGGGCAGTGACCGAGTGTTCGAATGGTCAGTCCGCCCCTGCAGTGGAGTGTGATTTAAAGCAATAGTAAACTCCGCTTTTGAACTTGTACCTACAGGTAAGCCTATAATAAGGTTTACCTGTAGGCAGGGCTGGTGCGCTAGGCAAGACCAGCTACTTGCACCCCTCCCCCCCCCCCAAAAAAAAAAATTAAATCAACAAACTATGAAACTGCTACATTTGCAAAAATAAGTGCCGTAAGATGCCACCAGCACCAATATCAAAGCCAAAATCAGTTTCACGGACGGACTGTATCTGTGGCTGGCAGTGGCAGGGTGACAGTTGCAGTGAGTGGAGGGTGATGGATCCACACTCTAATGGATCCTGGAACTCCCTAAGCAATGGGGGGGGGGGATAAAAGGCTGTGACAACAGGCAGCCCACACACAGAGAGAGAGAACACCTGAACTGAGCGATCCCACACAGTGACAGATCTGACACAACCAGGGGCGGACTGACCATTTGGAAACTCGGGCACTGCCCGAGGGCCCGGGGTCCATTGGTGGCCCCATGAGATGCCCCTGCTGCCTTTTTCATAGGCTTTTTGAGTTTGGGCAAGGACACGGGCCCCATGATCCCCTATTGCCCGGGGGCCCCATGAGTTGTCAGTCTGCCCCTGGACACAACACACCACCACCAACACTGACACAGATCAGCAGGCACTAGAGGAGCAGGCTGCGGGATCATGATAATGTCATCACTCACTGGACGGCCGGCTGGCTAAGTCACACTCCTACAGATACGAGGCATTAGATATTACCATCCTCTGTAGATGCTGCACTGCCTCTGCTGATGAATGGGAAGAGAACTGGAACTCCAAAATGATCAGCAGCCACCAGCTGGTTTGTAGTAAGGGACTGAGTCTGAGAGGAACACTGGAAGGATTAGCAGCTCAGCTGCTGCACTGGCCCAAGACACCGGGCATCTTCCTTTGTCCTTTCTTCCTCCTCTCTGCTACCCCTCCCCTCAGCTGAAGAATCATTCATGACGTGGCGGTCTGTGCTGCGCCATGAGCTGCAGTGCACCCTAGGCGGCTGCCTAGTGGAAGCACCGGCCCTGCCTGTAGGTACAGTGAATATTTCCTAAACTTGTGATGTTTAGGAGATATTCACACTGGATGCAGCTGGTGACGTCACCAACTCATGCGCTTTGGAGGGACGGCATACCGTGCCATCCCTTCAGAGCTCTGCGCTGTAAACCGTGACTCCTGTGTGCATGCGCAGAAGTGATGTCATCGTGGCTCAGCCATTCAAAGGACCGGAGCCAGCAAACCCTGAAGGAAGATGGAAGCCTTGTCAGTGGTGACAGCTTGCCATGCGAGGGCTTTGTTTGAAAGTAAATATTTCATAGTGTGCTAGTATACGATGTATGCTAGCACATTATGCAATTTCCTTGCAGGGGATTTTTTTTTTTCCTTGAACGGTCGTGGTTTACTACCGCTTTAAGCACCAGCTGGGCTGCACTGTGTGTCCTTTATCCTTGGTGTACAACTAAATCACTACAATTAACCATTTGCCGCCCGGCCTATAGCCGTTTGCGGCCGCAAAAATGCATTACCTTTCCGGGGTGTACGCCATTTGGTGTCCTCCCGCACATGCGCAGTTCGCGCGGTTGCAGAGTCATGCAGCGGCGCGATCTGTCACTGGCCATGTACCTCGGACACGGCCGGTGACAGATCTGAGTACCGGCCCCTGTTGCAGGTACCATGTGACCTGCTGTGACCAATCACAGCAGGTCACATGACAGTTGTAAACAATGGATGGCTTCATTCATGCCATCCATTGTATACTAGTGTCTAGCTGTGAATGGTCACAGCAGGTCACATGCACATGTCATGTGATTAGCTGTGGCCAAATCACAGCTAAGTACAAAAAAAAAAAAAAAAAAATCGATGTCATTCAGGTAAATGCTTGCTTATAGCAAAGTAATTCTTTGCTATAAGCAAATTGTGTAAAAAAAAAAAAAAATACTGATCACTTCCCCAAAGTAGTACAATGTTACTATGGTAACATTGTACTACTTTGGTCATAGTAAAATATGAAAAAAAATCTTAAAAAAAAAATGTAATAAAAATAATAAAAAAATAAAATAAAAAAAAATATATTTTTTTCATATTGTCACCAGTCCGTGTCCCTGATCACCGCCATGCCAGTTATATGATGACGCTGTACTGCACTGGTGACAGTATGTAAAAAAAAAAATTGTGAAAATCATTTTTTTAATTTTTTAATTTTCCGAAAAATTATGACAAAAAAAATACAACTTCAAAAAACTCGCCATGCCTCTTATGAAGTACGTCGGACTGTCTACTCTGCAAAAAGGGGTCATTTGGGGATATCTGTACTGTTCTGACATTCTTGGACCTCAAGAAATTAGATTGGCTGTCAGTACTTCAGGATTGATCAATTTTCAGATCTATACCATAGTTTGTGAACTCTATAACTTTCCTACAAACTAAATAATACATCCTAATTTGGGTTATTTTCACCAAAGACATGTAGCAGAATACATCTCGGCCTAAATTTATGAAGAACAATTATTTATTTGTAAACTTTTATAACAGAAACAAAGAAAAACGTGTTTTTTTTCAAAAATTTTGGTCTTTTTTTGTTAATTTAGCAAAAAATAAAAACCCCAGTGGTGATTAAATACCACCAAAAGAAAGCTCTAGTTGTGTGAAGAAAATGATAAAATTTTAGTTTGGGTACAATGTTGTATGACCGTGCAATTGTCATTCAAAGTGTGAGAGCGCTGAAACCTGAAAAATGGCCTGGGCAGGAAGGTGTAAAATTGCCCGGTATTGAAATGGTTAATTGTTGTGGACTATTCTGGGACTTTATCATAAGCACTTTGTAAATGTTATTTTGAATGTGCACATCAGCAGATCGGAAGTACTTTATACAGGGATTACTTAGCGCCTAATAAAATCTGTATATATTTGCAGATTTGTGGTTACACGTATACATGCAGACCACCTTAGGTACTGCCAAAACCTGATGCTGAGCTCCCATGATTGAGAGGACTGAAATCAAATGAATAAAAAGGACAGGCACAGTCAGGCTGGGGAAGAAAGAGCTAAATGAAGATGGAGGTCCTCAGCCAGGAAATACGAGACTCTAACTTGTTGCGGTTTGTAATACACACTGGGCTCCAGTAACAGAAGCAGGTCACATGCGGTATATAGATTTCCAGACACAATTTCCCTATATATCGACTGCGATCCTGAAACTGTCAATTCATGATACCGTTTTGTGGTATTTGCCGCAAACTGCTTAAGACGTTAGTAAATAATGCTCTAAACTGAATTCACAAAGGGAAATAATTAGATGTATGCGGTAATTAAAAGATGAGTCCACTTTTGGGAGCATATTACATGTTCCACCTGTTTTTATGATGGAACATGTAACATGTTGTCCCGATTTCCCGATTTCCCCCCCCCCCTTCCTTTGACAGTATTGACAGCAGTATTGTGAGACGTTCCCTGTACTAGCTGTCACTTTTAAAAACCCTGCGGCCGTGCGGGGCTCCGCCCACACAGTGTTCTATGAATGAATGAACTACGAGTCTCATCAGCCTTTGCGGCTGTCGGCTTGTAGTTCATTAGTTCACTGAATCTTCCTGTCCGTATATCTCCTTCCTGTACATCCCGTATACAGTACTAACAAGTCTATAGGAGAACTGCCTGGTCCCAGTAATCTGCTGATTGCTGCTTCAATGCTTTCCAGGCTCCTGCAGCCAAAAATAATAAATGCACATATTTTGTTACCTGCAAAAAAAAATGTGCATTTATTATTTTTGGTCAAAGGCAAACATATCGTTCAAGTGGTGGCCCAGGCATGCGGTATTTAAGAAATGTAAAACTAAAATAGGCAATTCTGAGTAATTTCTGTGCCTTTTTTTTTTGGATCAGTTCTCTCAACAGTAGTGCTTAGAAACCTAAATATGGAAATCGCTGGGGTAGATTTAATAAAGAAAAAACGTTTTTTTTTATTTCTGGATAAGGTGGATTAGAACATCTGTCAGGTTTTTGTTGTCTGTGCGCTCTTTAGGGAGATTCACCTTCTCTATTTGTCTTGTTTACCATTAGCGTTGAAAGTAAAAGAAAATCCCAAATTTTGGGTTGTCTCCAGAAAAGGGGAAATCTTCCAATAGGGACACAGATGGCAAACCCCCTCCCCCCCCCCCAAAAAAACAAAAAAAAAAACCAGACAGGGGTTATAACCCTCCCTAACTCTATCCAAAATGGGAAAAAAAAGTATTGCCCATAGTTCTACTTTAAGGTAAATAGACTGTGCAATTTGCAGGTTGCTCCAGAGCTTAGTACATGAGGTAAAGCTTCATTTCACAAAGAATATCCAATCACATGCAAGGAAAAAAAACTGCATTTTTTTTCTTGCAGATGATTGGATGATGGAAGTCAGCAGATCTCCCCCTCATTTACTAAGCTCTGGAACAATTTAATTGGAAAGTGCTCAGTCTATGTACCTTTAGTAAAACCACCCCATCGCATGTAGTAAATCCACCCCATCGCATGTAGTAAATCCACCCCATCGCATGTAGTAAATCCACCCCATCGCATGTAGTAAATCCACCCCATCGCATGTAGTAAATCCACCCCATCGCATGTAGTAAATCCACCCCATCGCATGTAGTAAATCCACCCCATCGCATGTAGTAAATCCACCCCATCGCATGTAGTAAATCCACCCCATCGCATGTAGTAAATCCACCCCATCGCATGCAGTAAATCCACCCCATCGCATGCAGTAAATCCACCCCATCGCATGCAGTAAATCCACCCCATCGCATGCAGTAAATCCACCCCATCGCATGCAGTAAATCCACCCCATCGCATGCAGTAAATCCACCCCATCGCATGCAGTTAATCCACCCCATCGCATGCAGTTAATCCACCCCATCGCATGCAGTTAATACACCCCATCGCATGCAGTTAATCCACCCCATCGCATGCAGTAAATCCACCCCATCGCATGCAGTAAATCCACCCCATCGCATGCAGTTAATCCACCCCATCGCATGCAGTTAATCCACCCCATCGCATGCAGTTAATCCACCCCATCGCATGCAGTTAATCCACCCCATCGCATGCAG